GTTCCCCATAAGTGTCCATTGTTTTTTTTTTTTTTTTTTTTTTACTGCAAAATACAGTTGGTGGGTTAAAATAAAGCAACATCCCTGGGGGCCTGTGGAACCAATCCAGATTCTGGGGGACGCTCCAGTGGTTTCTGTGCTGTGAGAATGGCTGAAAGGCCATGAATAGGGCCCTCAGTCGAGGTGCAGGGCTGCTGGCACGCAGCCCGTTAACCAGTGATGGATACATGTAGAGATGGATTTCTTTGAAGGGCTCAGCCTCTGAATGGCCATCTCCTCTGATTCAATCTCAGGCTGCCCTGGAGGCTCTCAAGAGCCATTCTGCTCGATAGGTTTTAACGCGGCACTCATTTAGCACGTAGCTGTTGGGTCCTTCCTCTTGCAACCTACATACCTAAGAAAGAAATTGCGTCAGAATAGACAGACTATTCACATCTGCAGGACAGAGAAGGATCATTTAGCTGGGCCACTGAACGGATTTATTTTCCAGCACAGAAAATGAATTTCACCACGTTGTTCCAGATGCAAAGCTATATTTAAATTGTTGTTGTTAAAAAGGTATAGACAATGCATGATATGGCAACCTGGTGAAAGTTGCTCCCTTTGATTTGGCCATCTGCCAAGTGGGAAATGTGCAGGGCTTCATGAGATGCTTCTTCAAACTTGCTGATGTTGCAGTGTTTGTTGATGTCTCAACAACGTGACAGTCAGGAGACCCCATGGTGGAATCTTGTATGTTTGCTGATGGCCTGGTCTGGAAACTTCATGAAATCCAGAGGGATATGTTTAGGATATTCCAGGTACTTCCTTACATAGTTAAATAGTTTGTGCAGAATAGTACATACAAATGTCAGCTGCATACAAAGTGTTAGAATAAATTTATAACATTAACCGCTATGCGTGTGTGTTTGTGTATACATACATATATATATATATATATATATATATGTATATATATATATGTATATATATATACATTTCTATAATGTGTGCGTAATTATAACTATCAATCAGTCATAACTATTGAAACTGAAAATAAGCAGTTTCAGAAATAAGGAATCAAACATCTGTAAATTATTCCACCAATCAGGTTCACAGGCAGAAACATTGTCCAAAAATGGAAGTTAAATGGAACACAGTTACACAAAAACATATATGGAAAATAATGTTATGCCAAGTAGGACTCAAACTTCAGTGCCAAGGATCTGCAGAAATGTTTGGCTGAGACAGGAATAGTTGTTCACAACTATATAATGTAGCGTACAATACATAGTGGTCTGCATGCAGGGTTGAAAGCAGTTTCTGCGACCTCACGAAAACTAATACTTAATGTATGCATGTAAAAGGCTAAGTATGCCTGAAGCTTTTTGGAACAAATTGCTTTGGGTTGATGAAAAAAGAAAATTGAATTATTCAACCATAACTGCAGATATATTTGGAGAGAGATGGGTGAATCATTTGAAGAAAAGAACACATTTCAAGTGTGTGGGTGGCTCTATTATGCTTTGGAGATTTGTAGCAGCCAGTGGCACAGGAAGTACTGCTTGGATGGAAGGAAGAATGGATTCAAGTAAACATCAGCAAATCCTATAAGTAAATGTCTGCAGCCGGTTGAGAGTATCTGAAAGGAGGTTGGACAATTCAGAAAGACCATTATCCAAAACTCATAAGTAAGACCAACTGTGATGTATTTATGGCAAAGCTGGATGAATGTTTTGGAATGGGCATCAGCCCTCGAACTTCCTCTGTGGCGAAATCTCTAACATGCAGGACACACAAGTGTATGTAAGGTATAGCAGTCATGTGTGGAATAAAAGGGGATGAAATTCCAAGAGCAAACGCTACAGGAAGTGTTGGAAAGATGTTCATCTGCTGGAAGAATGTGTCATGAAATATTAGCTTACAAGGTGCCCATGTGCAATTTTATTAACTG